ATAAAAGTAGCAAAATTACAATTATGAAGTAGCAATGAAAATAATTTTATGACTGGGAGTCACGACAACATGAGGAACTGTACTAAAGAGTCACAGTATTAGAAAGTTAAGAACCACTGACTTAATTTATTGTGTTTTCTCACTTTAGCCTCTAAAGCCTCATGAGGTTAATTTTGATTGACAGGATCCAGAATCACCTTGGCAACCAGCTTCAATCACACCAAGAAGAGCTTGTTGAGGATAGCTTAGCTTCTGAACATGGCTGTGAAGGATGCTCTTGATTTTTAATTAGATGAGGTGGGAAGACCTACCCTAACTGTGGGCAGGACCATTCCCTGAGCTTCTCTCCTGGACTGATAGATGGAGAAAGCCAGCTGAGCAGAAGCCCCACCTCCTCCTGCTTCCTGACTGTGGTTGCAATGTGACCACCTGCCTCATGTGCCTGCCTTTGTGATGTCCCAGGAATTGTAAGCCAAATAAATCTTTCTCCTTTAAATTGCTTTTGCAGATACTGAATCATAGCTACAGGACTCACAGTTAAAGGACAAGTAATTAATAATATAAGCCAGAAACTGACAGGGACCACATCTTTCCTGGCTAGGGTTTAAATAAAAAAAAAATCTGGCACACAATAAATCCACTGCAAATAATTTTTAATATATTAACTATAATAGGACAAATTATTAACTGTGTTCTTTTGTATAATTACTTCTTTTTTATTACTAAGTTTATGGGAACAAGGCACCGCTGGAGAGAATGGTTGTTTTGAAGTATTACCCATGATTTTTCTTTAAGAAGACACCCAAAAAGGTGAAAAAACTTCTAATGTCAGTAGGAAGGGGAAAAACCCTGTTTTTTGTTACAATACAAACACCCCCAAATCCCATGTGCTTAGGATTGTGTTTTAAAAGGTCTTATCTGGAACTGGACAATTTCAAACCACACTGATCTTGGCCTGATGCACAAACCACACCATGGAATTCTTTCAATTCTTCCAGAAACCAGTCTGCTAAATGAAAGTTTCCTCGAACTGAGGTGTTCTTTGAATTTGCTTCCAAAATGTTTACAATTTTCACATCCCCACTCTAGAGCCAGTTGAAAATTGTGTTATTGTCCATACTACTACCACCACCACCACCACCTCTACCACCACCACCACCTCTACCACCACCACCACCACGACCACCTCTACCACCACCACCACCTCCACCACCACCACCACCTTTTTTTTTTCCATTGGCAATGCTAGGGAATAAAAAGTAAGCAATTTGTTTGGCTGCTAAGCTTTAAATGAATAGGAGAGTGGGAGAAGTCAAGGCTCATAAGCACAGGTCCATATGTAGTCTACTCATGAGATAAACTGTATCACATAAAAAAGATTAAGGTCCTACTCAGTACCTTCTCATGCACAAGAAGAGACCAAAGGTATCAAAATAGACATATTTATTGTATAAGTTTATTAATTTTACATCACAAAAGCATCATTAAGATGCCTGCCCAAGTTATCTACAAACAAGATGAAAAAGGATTGTGGCGGAGTAGAAAAGGTTGACCGGTATCTTAATTATTGTCATCATTGGTATGAACAATAAGAAAGTACATTCCCACAGCTATCATTCAGTTCTTCTATGTCCATCATCCCAAATCAGATCTTCCATTGCCAGAATCACAGTTTCATCAAGCTTTGGGGACAGCATGACAGCATTGTGCCTGAGTCACCTGCTTTTTTCAGGGGTTCCCAAGTACTACTTATTTATAGTACTATTTGTATTCCTGTAGGGTGGTGGACTCAGAAATATCACTCATCTCTTTTAAAGAAAGACAATTAAGTTAGGCTCTGCCTCAACTGTCGGGAAAAACCAAGCAGTGACTGGAAACCAGAGCAGGGGTTTGCTTCAGCCCTCACAGTCTTATCTAGCAGATGAAAGTGATCATCATAAACAAGCTCCCTGAGGAAGAAAACATCATAATGCGAAATGGAGAGCTGGGGCTGTCATGACCAAAAGCCCCAAACAGACCCAATGTCTAAGCCGTCTTTATTAGCCTTTTATCTAATTCAAAGACACTCAACTGCCAGCCTCCTCAACTAAAACAAGTCATCTTTGCCAGGCATTATGAGATTCCTCTGGGATTAAGGGGAAAAAAAAGACAGCTGAATTTCTCCAAGTTTTGGACTGTTTGATGATCAAGCACTACCCAGAAAATCCAAATCCGATCACTGAGCGATGAGATTTATTGATACCAAACTACAGGAGAAAGGGGCAGTCAGCTCCAGCAACTGAGGGAGGCAAAAGCTTTTCCTCATTGGGCTCCGGTACTTAGACATATCTCACCACTTAGCAGCTATGAGTCAGACAAGTCACTCTATTCACTCACAGAAAGCAGATAACAGCAAAACTCCTGGCTGTTAGAGGAGTAAGAGAAAGTCTAGAGATATGCTGCGTGCAGAACTGGCCTTCAGAGATAATCGGTGAGGAGCCAGAAAACCCTTTCCTGAGTGCACTTATTCACTTCCTAGCCTGGGTGCTCACACAGCCCGGGTCCCATGCAGCACAGAATAAATTCAAAGTCTTCACCTTGAATATCAACTCTCATTGCAACATACCAGGATCCAGGAAAATGATAAGAAGCAACAACAACAACAACAAAAAGACCCTAAGACAGGCTTCCCTAAATGAATCCAAAATGCTACCAGGCTCCTTACCATTGATTTTTGTGTTGGAAGAAGGAAAGGCCGAGAGTAGCTGCAGAGGCTCTTAGCTTAGGTTAGTCCACTTAACTCTAACATGGAGAAATAAAAGGGAAGAGCACAGCTAATAATTTTCATGAGCAATGTACATTTAACACCTAGAACATTATAGGGCTCTGAAAGAGAAAACATTCTCTAGGTAAATGCCCAAAAGATTTAAAAACACAAGAGGAAACTTAAGAAGCCACATCAATCCTAACACTTACGCATACCTGTGTCTTTACATTTTTTCACAGCGAGGCAAGCAGTGGTGCTGTTTTATCAATCCCCGATTTTCCTTAAGCATACCTGTGCTGGGCTGGGCTCCCAGAGTTCCCCACAGCACCACCTACTGTTGAGGGACTGTACCTACAGCAGCTCCAATTGTGGAGGACCCCAAGACTTCAAAACATTGAAAAATGAAAAAGATTGTCACTTCAAAGTCAATGGTGGAGACAGAAGGTGAACTGATACCTAACTGACGATCACATAAACTATCTAAGTTGTAAGCACCATTTTTTGGTTACTGAAAATGGCAAATGCGTAGCTTCATTTTTCTCTCTGTTATTGGGCCCATAGATCTTGATCCCTAGAGTCACGACATGCTCTAAGGGGGTGGTCATACAGGGAGTACATTCATCTTTCATTAATGACAAGCATGGTGAGTGTCAACTAACTGCTAACAATGTGAGTTTTTCAACTAGAATTGAAATTAGTATTCTAAACCTTGAGAAGGGGTGATGTGACGATGAGGCTCACAGCAGAGGTTTCCCGTTACATTTAAGCCCTGCATAGACAACAGGCCCCTTAGAGATAACCAGTACCTGTGGGTTATGAAACCCACTAGGCCACAACTGAATTGGGACTCAGACCCGACAAGTAATCCTCCCTTCCCAGCCACTGAGCACACAGAGCCAGCAGCTTGTCAGGCTCCCGCAAACAGCCCGATCTCCGTTCTGATTTAAAATTATATCACACTGAAAATAGACAGACCACACTTTAAAAGATCTGGGATGCAAACAAAGAAAACATTTTTTTTCTGAACAATAAAAACATGAATTAAAAATAAAACCAGCTGACATTTCTCTAGTTCTGCTTCCAGGCCTTATGTTAAGGCCTTTCAGATTTTGAGGTTCAAGAAGTAATGTCATCCCTGTGTTCAATTCACGATTTAAGACGAATAATTCAAGAAATGTCACAGATTAAATGTAATGGGGTAAATCAATGGCATGCTACCATTAACTCTTATTTTTAAATAACTATGTTTAATAAATACCTCATTTGAACTACCAGGTCCCAATACCACAAAAATGGATACAAATACAAATAATAATAATAACAACACAGTACAGTCACATGACTTAGAATGCTGGGCGCTAAATAACTCGTTAACACCAACAGAGGAAATGAAAATGGAAGTCATATTATTCATACAGAAAAAATGCTGATTCTGCTATCATAGTCCTCTCTGCAAAAATAGACTCGGCAGTCCTCACAAGCCAGCCATGCACTGTTGTCACAGATGTGCGCCAGATTTGCACAGGACATAACTTGGCTGTGGGAGAAACCCGGAGTTTGCCTGAATCTTAGGCAGGAAAGAATGCCTGTTCTTTCTTGGAGAGGGTCGCTGTCAATAAATCCGAACAGCAACTTGAAAGGGTTAAAAAAAAAAAAAAAAACTAGGCGTCAGGTGGTTTTATTCCCACTTTGGGAAGTAATAAAGCAAAGTTATCTCCTCTTCCTTCTCCATTAGCCAGGATGGAGAGACTTGTCACTGCCGCTTACACCATCGGGCTCCTGCTCTAACAAAAGGAGGGCAGCGCAGACACCCAGCTTTCCACAGCCCGGCATTGTCGCCAAGTTATGAGCGCCGCTAGGTGACAGGGGCACGAGTGAGCCGGGACCAACATTATGTATTTCCAACCCGCATGCATTCAAAGAAGGTAGAGACAACCGAGCTGTGGGAGGGAGGACTGGAGGGAGGGCGCGGGGGGCAAACAAACTTTCAAAGCCCGGGGATCTGCATTCCCGCAGGAACCGGCAGCACACTGGCGTGCCCACGGGATGACCTGGGTGGGGACGCAGCACGGAGAGGGGCCGGGGACCGCCGAGTCCTCGCCCACCCTCTCCCCAGCAGCTAGCGCTCCTTCTGAGCCTGGGCCTTGATGCCCGGCTGGGCGCAGGGCGGACAGCGGGGCCAGGCTCCCGGAGCCCAGGCCCGGTAGGAGCAGGACCCCGAGCCGCACTCCCACCCGCCAGCGCCCCAGCTTACCTTAGCCGAGCTCCGGCCCCTGAAGGCAGCCAGGCCAGGGACCAGGCTCCAAAGATCGCGAGGAGGAGCTTGGGCCGCGCTGGGCACTGCAGGCCGAGATGAAGCGGCCGCCGGGTCCTCGCCACTGGCTCCGAGCGGCCCGCGGTGGGCGAACGGGCCCAGATCGCGCGGCAACGGAGGGCTGGGCTGGCCGCCGCCGCGTTTGCACCTCCGCACCGAGGGGCGGGATCAGGCAGGCTCCGCGGGAGAGCGAGGGAGGGAACTTGGAGCCAGTTGCAGCGGCCCGGAGCTCGTGTCCCCGCGCAGCCGGCACGCCCCCAGAGTGCCCGCCCCCAGGCACCTTCCCGCCCCACCCCCTCCGCGCCCTGCACCCCTCCCCGCTCTCCTCCGCCCCGCCCACCTGTGCCCCCGCCCTGCTCCCATCAGCCCCACGCCCACCCGGTGCCTCAACTGCCCCACTTCTCCCACCTTCGAGAAGCCGCCCTGGATGTGCAGACCAGGCTATGTATGTACCTAGAACCTGTGTGCAGATGTGATGAGCCTACCTGATAGCTCCTTCTGGAAGATCTTGGCGCCCATCTCCTAACTCCACGTGGTTAGGACCAGGCTTTTCTCCATGGGCAGGAAGCATCCAGGAAAACTAAGCACATTCTAATTGAGTTTCGCTAGTAGGAAATCTAAAAGTTAAAATCCATGCTTATCAAAGTGACCGTAAATTCGGAGATTGGGGGTCAAAATATATTCCTCGCAAAATATTAAGCAAAATTTCTCTATTTTTAACCCTTAGTATTTTGAAATTCAATAGAATATTTGTATGGTTTTCTCTGAAAGGCCATTTATACATATTTAAATTATGCAACTCTTAATCCCTTCTATTTCTGGAATTATAAAATAAAAGTCAGATTTCTATAATAAATTTCTGGCTATTTGCAAAATTATTGTGTTAATAAGTGACGTAATGTTAGGCTTTGAGTGAAACTTTGGCATGCAAATGAGTTCCTTGTCAGAAAATTACACTGTAGCCTCCATTCCTACTCTAAACCCAGTGACAGTGGAATGAAGCTATTTTTCATCATTACCATAGCAAATGAAGGCAATTTCCATCCAGAGCAGACCCTCCCTGCTCCAACCCCGGCCCCCACCACAAGCACACACACACACACACACACACACACACACACACACACACACACACACACACTTTTGCTTATTTGCTCCTAGTCCTTATTTGCTCCTAGCCTCTTCCTGTTGTGTATGTGAGACACAAACATCGATTTCTGGTGCCCAGGAGAGCCAAGTAAAGTTTATCTTGTCCTCTGGACATAGAGATGGGAGGCAGGAGTTCTTTCTCCTAAATGAGTCATGTAAGCCTGCAGCAGCTGAGAGTACCCCAGCAAAGAACACCACTATGCCAGAAGAAAACCACGGTAAGCAAGAGAGTCAGGGAAACCCACCTATCAACTGGCTTTGCTCTCTGAAGCATCCAGACAGAGCATCTGAGGATGAGTAGAGTGAATTGCCTTTCTTGCTTATGAAGTTTTGCCATACGCTCCCTTTCAATCATAGAAGATTATCCTGTGCATTGGAAATCAGAAACATAACTAGTGAGTTCTAGCTTTTGTGTTGCCCAAATCAAATTATTTCTTGATAATGCAGTATAGGCGAAGAGGTCACTTAAACGAAGTCCTGGGTTTTAGTGAGAATAAGATTTTTCATTGAGGGTAACCTTACTTTTCATTGTAGAATTAATGCACCCATGCTGTTCTTATCATAATCCAAACCCAAAAAGAGATGTGGTCAGAGAACAAGAGGCAAACAATAAAGTCTAAACCAGAACCTCCTGGTAAATTTTCTTTTATCAGTTAGAACAATAAAATGTACTTTTACATCCTCCCACTGTCTGCTGGTCCAGAATTTGTCTTTTCAAGACAAAATCTGAAGGGCTACTAAAGTCTTCTGTGGATTTGCCACACTAATTTTTGAACTAGGAATGTTCCCATACTTGAGTGTGGTTCCAGAGAAGTGGGCCATTGGCCTATGTGTGGAATTCATTTGTTTCACAAAGGTTTTTGTCTCTGAAAGTACTCAAACAGGCATCCACAGATGCAGTTTCCCAGTATTAGCCGCAGCCTGATTGCTGGATTTACTTCGTGTGGGAGAATAATATGACATCTAAAGGACGGGGATCAGGGCCTCATTGTTTCTCTGCATGGGTAAGAACCTAGTCTTTCAATCACTAGTGAAATTTCAAAGATAAACGCCTGTGAGCTGAGCAGCAATGTACTGTAAACAGATAAGCCTCCCGCAGGAGAGACAAGGAAGAAATCATGACTCAGCAGCTTAGAAGCAACCAGGAGGAAAAGAACAGGGGTGTCCAAGCCCAGCCCCCAGGGGCATCTGGGCAAATGTTTATGACTCTCTAAAGAGAACCTCAACCAAACAAGTAGAGTTCCCCAGCACCCATAGACAGGGCCCCAGTAAGGTCTCTGCAGTTTCTTTCTTCTCATTTAGTTAGGTCAGACTCAGCTCCATTTGTCCAGAACTCCCCCTAGAAGCACAGCATAACAGAATGGTTTCTGGCAGGGTACAAAATTAACTGGAGAGCTCCTGACTGCACCAGGAGAAGGGAGAAGACAAGCATGAAGCCAAAGCTTATTTTTCTCACAAGCGTGTGTGATGGTTGTTCGAGGTTAACTTGTGCTGTACGGAAAAGCCTTGAGACGTCCTCAACCCTCAGACCAGACTCCTATAACTTTGACTTGTATGTAAAATTAAAGTTATTGGCTGAACAAACTCCATTTGTCTTTTCCCTTCAACTGTTATTTTGAAGTTATAGAAAAGGCAGGGAGGAGAGGGATGTATTTCAGGAGTGGGAGGATGGGTTAGAAGCCATCACCTTGAAAGAGAAAGGACAGCTGCCAGCATGCAGAGATAGGAGGACCTTGCCGGAGCTTGCTGCCCCATGGGTCGGTTCACCATTGGCAACAGCCCTGGGGTTATCTAGTGCTTCTGGTTCCACAGTTTACCTGCGCTCCTGCACATGCTCAGGGTGGTGATGGGTGTTCGTAGACAGCATCCAGGACCCAGCTTAATTCCAACAGCTACCGTCTCTTAAATACTTAGTCTGTTTGGCAAAATGTGTTTCATTTTTAGTTGACACAGGCCACTAAACATAAATATTATGATGTCCATTTCGTGAAGACATTCAGGCCAAGGAAAATGACTGACATATCTAAGGTTCGAGTTAGTAGTTAGAAGATTTATGAGCTGACCCATGTGACCGGCAGCCCATATATCTTTTACTCTAAACCAAACTTGCTTGCACAATTCATCTCTCCAGTGGTGGTCTAACCACAAGAGGCCATTTGAATATAAATGAATTAAAGTTTCAACTCATCTAAATCCCTTGAGTTTAATTTTGATTCACTGAATTAATTTTTTTGATTTTAAATGTCAATGACTTAAATTTTTCTTAGCCACAGTAGATCCTTTTTTCAAGTGTTCAGTAACCACATGTGGCTGATGGCTGCTGTGCTGGCTGGCCCAAATTAAGAAAAAAATTTCCATTGTCAAAGCAAGTTTTGCTGGATAGGACGGCCCTTCAGATGTTTGTCTGTGTCATCAGGTAAGGCAGAGTTCTCTGTGATTCAACTTCCTAAGTGTATTTTTCCAGGCCACATATGTTAGCTGTTTTTATGGAATTGTATCCTAAAGTTGTAATCTCTTTCTGTGACCACCTTCATCAGCAGGGCATGCTGTACTGAGGACCACAGGAAGGCACAGAGGGTGAGAAGTCACTCTCCAGGGACACATGCAGCAACCTTCAGGCCCTCTGCTGTCAGATCTCCCCTCTGGCATCTCCACATTGCATCTTCTTGCCAAAACCTGCCTGACACTGAAAAATCATGGTCCATGTTAGTCTTTTGCCCCCAAGTCTGATTCCATGTATTTGTGTTCTCTCTCTATGGGTTTTCCTTTTCTAATTCCATGTCTCAAAACACAGCTGTGACTTGGTGTCCCTTTGAATCCATGACCTCCATAAATAGAAAGTCCATTAGGTGATCAAATTTATTAAACAGTATATAGTGTGCGATATAGTACTATAGTATAGTATGCATATACTCTATGCATAGCCTTCTGTAAATGGAAACTCATCTCTGAGCCATTTGTAATAACTAGTGCTATATGAGTAATTGTTGTAAGGTACTGTTTTTCTGCCATTTGTATCCTTTTGTTAATGGCTGTTATGATACATTATTTAGGAAATGATGGAAAGGCGTGCATGTGCATATACTGTTTTCAGGATATTTGTGATTCATGGATGGTTTAATCCTAGAACACAGAACCCATGGGTATGCAGGCAAAATGTACCACTGACTTGAGACTTTGCAATTTTAATATCTAGTTCCCACCTTTTGTACTTCCCTTCAGAGCAATGTATTTCCCTAGCTTTTTTCATAGAAAAGTCTACTTGAAGGGCAACAGTGAGCTGTTTATAACTAACATACACTTAAACAATGGAAGCTTACATTCTGACACTTTTATAGCAACTTTGTATCACCTGACATTGCCATAATGTACATAAAATGGTTGATGAACTTCAAGGGATTGAAAATTGAAAACAGCTGTGCCTGGTGGTGTAGGCTTGCAGTCTCAGCTACCTGGGAAGCTAAAGCAATTAATTGAAATAAGTATATGAGCAAGTTCAAGACCAGCCTAGGTAATTTAGTGATACCCTGTCTCAAAATAAAAACTAAAAAGAGGGGTTGAGTGCTGTGGAATAATCCTTCTGTACACTGTGAGTATGTATTACTCTCATTGGTTAATAAAGAACTGACTGGTTGGTAGCCAGGCAGGAAGTATAGGTTGGACAGCCAAACTAACAATATTGGGATGAAGCAGGGAGTCAGAGGAATTGCCAGAGACACAGAGAGAAGCAAGATAGGCATGGCATGCCATACTGAGAAAAGATACCAAGCCAGGTGGCAAAGCATAGATAAGAAATATGGGTTAATTTAAATGTAAGAGTTAGCTCGTAATGAGCCTGAGCTATTGGCTGAGAATTTATAATTAATATTAAGACTCCATGTCAGTTATTTGGGAACTGGTGGGCGGGAAAGAAATGAGACTAAAAAGAGGGGTTGAGATGTAACTCAGCAGTAAAACACTTGCTTAGCATGAAGGGAGTTTAGGTCTTAGCTCTAGAATCCCCTGTGGTGGTTTGAATAAGAATGGCTCCTCTAGGCTCATATCTGAATGCCTGGTCCCTAGTTTGTGGAATGTTGAGGAAGAA